AATATACTTTGATCCCTTTAGCCTCCAGTTCTGTATCTAACTCCTTCTTGAAATCATACAATGTCTTTGGCCGTGACTTTTGGTAGAGAATTTCACAGGGTCACCACTCTCTGGATGAAGAAACTTCTTGTATCTGAATCCTAAATGATTTACCCTGTATTCATTGAAAGTAACCCCTAGCTCTGAACTCCACCATCATTGGGAACATGCTCCCTATATCTACCCTGTCGAGTCCTAATGGAATTTTGTAAGTTTCTGTGAGATTCCTCCCTCATTCTTCTAAACTCCAGTGAATACAGTCCTTACCAACTCTAACTCTTCTTGTACATCAGTCTCACCATCCCAGAAATCAGTCTGATAAACCTTCGCTGCATTCCCTCTATAGCAAGAGCATCCTTCCTCAGATAAGGAACACTATTACAGATGTGCCCTCACTAAGGCCCTATATAATTGCAGCGAGGCATCCCTACTCTTGTCCTTAAATCCTCTCGTTCTGAAGACCAACATGCCATTTTCTTTCATTATCACCTGCTGCACCTGCATGCTTACATTGAGTGACTGGTGTATGAGGACACTCAGGTCTCGTTGCACGTTCCCAATCTCAATTTATCGTCATTCAGTTAATTATTTGCATTCCTGGTTTTGCTACCAAACTTGCACTGTATTCCAAATGCCCAGCTATTAATTCTATTCTTATGCGCTGCAGCACTTTTCCCCACTGTCAACGTCAGGCTAACTTAGATTGTCAAGACTTGGGGATTGATTGGTGTTCAATCCAATCAATTTCCCCAGTACCTTTTCCCTAGTAAAGCTGATTTACTTCAGTATCTCCCACTCACTAAACGCAGAGTTCCTCAACAATTCTGCTATGTTATTCTGACCTCCCCTGTGAACTCAGAACCAAAGAATGTATTTAGTTGGTCATCCATTTGTTTGTTCCCCATTGAAAACTCCCATATTTCTGACTGTAAGGGATCTACATTTGGCTTCACCAATCCTTTTCTCTTCACATAGCTATAGAAATATTTACAGTCAGTTTTTTTTAATGTTCCCCGCAAGCTTGCTGTCTTTCTCTATTTTCTCCTTCTTAATCAATCCCTTTGTATTCTTCTGCTGAACTCTAAAATGCTCCCACTCGTGAGGTCTGTTCTTTTTTGGCCAATTCGTATTCCTCTTCCTTGGATCTAATGTAATATCTAATTTTACCTGTAAGCCATTGTTTGGCCACATTTTCTGTTTTACTTTTGCACCAAACAGCAATGAACAATTGTGGCTGTTCTTTGAATGTTTGCCATTGCCTTCCACCATCACCCCATCTCCAATCCATTGTAGCCAATTCACACCTCATACCATTGTAGTTTCCTCTGTTTAGATTCAGGACACTAATTGCAATACCAACTGTGTCACTCTCCATCTTGATGAAGGGTTCTATCAGGTTATGGCCACCCAAATGCTTTAATGCTTTATGGCCTCACCAAATTGGTGAGGAAAACGGTCCATTGTTTATATCCTCAGTACAAATCCACAATCCATCCACAGTTTCAAGGAAAGATCAGCTTTAGTCAAGTGAGATTAAAATATACACATATATGAATCTTGCGAGTCCAGGAAATGTACTGTTCAGATTGCTTGTTCCAAGCCAGTGGAAAAAATATCTTATTTTGTTTAAAATATCCTATCAGGTTGACATTTTCTGGACTGCACAAAAGTCAAGAAAAGATGGTCTACAGAGTTGGTTTTAAACAAAACATATATTTTTTAAAATGTTACGTTAGATTGTTATGTTGGTGCCTGGATAAGTAAATGTAACCCAGTATAAATATCTTGAAGCAGAATTGACAAGTAATAAAACCTCAAAGGATGCCAGGATAGGATTGGAAATGTCAGCCCAATTCTTTAATCATTGAAGGAAAGGCTGGAAAGATTCCGATGCTAGTCTGAATTCTGAACTTGGCCTTTGGAGCACCTTCAGACACTGATCAGTCAAAACTTGCATCTTCTAGGAAGGCTATAAAAAGAAGCTCTGAAGTTTTAGAGTATACAAACCTTCCCACTTTCTGACAGTATGCATCCTGGAACAAAACACAGAATTAATGGCTCGGGGTATCCTGCAGTATTTCCAAGCTAACAAGAAGCAACGTTTGGATATGGGACCAGGGATGTTGGGTTTTCACTTGTTCTCAGTAAGTTTCTGAGAGAAACGATAGAGAACAAAGATGATGACAAGAATGTGTCAGTTGTTGACAGACCATCAGCTGGAAGAATTGAAAAAACGAATGTCCTGCAGAGTACCCAAAAGTGACCTCACAAACATAAATGTGGGAAGTTAAGTCATTCAGGAAGTCATAGATTTAAATGGCAAATTGTTATTGTATCAATAATGTGTCTTTTTATAGATTTATTTATTCTTACATGTGATGTGCCTGCCACTAGCAAGACTGGAATTTGGTGTCCTAGAACAGATTTATTTTTTTAGGCATTTTGGAGCGCAGTTGACACTCATCCACATTGATGTGGATCGGGAGTCACATTGTAAGCCCAGACCAGGTAATGGTGGCAGATTTCCTTCTCTAAATGATATTTGTAAACCAAATGTCTTTTTTTATAGCCGTCAACGTGCCTACATAGTTGGCATTTTAATTCGAGGGATTTTCTTTATTAAATTTGGGATTCACTGACTGCCACAGTAATACTTGAATCTGTTTCCCCAGAACATTAGGTTGAATTTGTGCCTTATTAGTCCAGGGACAATATTACTTTGCTGTCACCGTCCCATGTGTGGCATTCTTTTCATTTGATAGTCTAAACCAAAATATTGCAGATGCTTGCAAACAAAATACAGCCAGAACATGCTGGAAGTATTCATATGGTCAGGCAGCTTCTGTAGAGAGAAGTAGAGTTAATAGATCAGATTTACATGGACTCTATAAGACCATAAGAACTCTCTCTCTGCTGTTTGTTTGTCTCTCTCTCTCTTTCTCTCTCTGTCTCTCTCTCTCTTTCTTTCTCTGTCTCTCTCTTTCTCTGTCTCTCTGTCTCTGTCACGCTGTGTCTTTTTCTGTCTGTCTCTCTCTCTGTCTATCGCTCTCTTTTCTCTAAGAAGTGTCACTGGACTCTGGACTCTCTTCTCTCCAGAGATGCTACCAGACCTCTCTAAGTTTACATTTTGACACTTTAAATACACTTTTAAGGGATTAAATATCTTTGAGGTGGGGTTTTAGTAGAAGTCCCCTTTCTCTAGGAGATTAACCACTTGAGATTGGAAAAACCTATTCAAAACTTTTCACTATCAGTGTGTGTGGGTGTGAGAACAATGTTATATTGTTCAAATGTTTTCCTTTATCCCTATATGGCTGCTGAGACCTGTCCATGGATGAAAATGTTATGGATATGGCATGGGCACTATAGGGTTAATAGAGGTGAGTGGGACATATGAACTGTAATGGAGTAAGTTTGGACACAGTGGGAAGCCATGAGTTAGCAAGATGAGTATGAGGGAACATGACAGTGGTAAGGGGTTGAGATTGTGTGGAGATATGGAACAAAAGTGCCCAGCTTCTAAAGCAACTGAGACAAAGAAAAATAATCAGTTTGTGGAGTTTCACCTGAGGTCTTTGTAAACCTTTCCCAAGGTCTCTTATTATATCAAGATGAATGTTCGGCTGAGTTTCAACCTCAAACTGTTTATTAACATGTCAGGGTTTCTGAGCCTGCATGTTTGATTGAAGGTTGAAAGAGGCTGTTGTAGAATTTGTAGTCTATGATATTGAGTCTGAATAAGAATTGTCAGTCCCCAAAGTCATGTAATTTTAGTTTTCAGGATTCATATTGTAAATGCAAATTGTGATAATGAAAATAGCACTCCAATCTTTGCATGTTCATATGTTCTCTACCATCAAAGTTACTTTATGGAAAGGGTGTATCTGGTGCCACAGATGTCATTGAGTTTCTGGAATTAGAAGTCCATGCCGATCTGCCCATAGGCAAAAGTGTGGAGTCACTGATACCCTCGGAGTACTTCCCACTCTGGCTCTTCTCAGCACTTTACTCAGTACTTCACTTGGCATCCCACTCCCATCCCCTGCTTCATTTCATCTCCCACATCCCCATTAGCACATGCATTGCTACTTCCATGATAGCCCTCCTTTCACTCACTCCCGGGGACGGTGAACAGCAAGGCATCACAGTGGTGAGAGGGAGAGAGGCATTGAGGAGTCAGGAGCAGGGCGGACAAGTGTCTGGAGTGGGGCATTGTGCATTTCACAATTCCGGTATCTGAATTAACTTCAAACATTAGAAAAACATTCATCTTGTTGCTTCTAATTTTGCAGCAGGCATCGTGCTATCACATCATAGGCAGTGGCACCGTAAGCACTGTGGTTACATGGTTAATGTATGCACGTGCTGCGTTTGTCATTGGCCAATGCTGTGGAATTGACAATATGCAACATTGTCTATATAACATTAATAATTTTAACATAGAGCCATATCTACATGGCTGTCTCTCTGTCTCTGTCACGCTGTGTCTCTTTCTGTCTGTCTCTCTCTCTTTTCTCTAAGAAGTGATGAGAGTACTTATTAGCCACATCTACTCATCGTGTCCTGCACAACCTATTCCACATTGCCAATTACACACATCCCCACCCCACGCTCCACACATCACCCTCTCGTATACAAGCACAAGTAGTTTTATTCTCGCTCTGTCTCATTCTGATTCTCTCTCGCTCTCGTTTTCTCTTGCGCTGACTCTCTCTCTTTTGCGCTGTCCGTCTCTCACTTTCTCCCTCTCTCATATTATCCGCCCAGAGCAACGTTCCAACAGATCACAGGCAGTTTTTGTTTTTTATGGGGCGAGAAAAAGCGCATTAAAAATTTGCGAGCTTTCGAAACATGAGATGATGTGTTTGAAAATTGTTGAGAAACAACATAGATTATTGTTAACTGGCAGGATTGTATTGTGCAGAGTGAAATTAACGTGTTAATTTATTTTTATATTCCAGGTCCAGCATCATGGGTCCCTTCAGTTGCTGCCATCGGCCAGCCTGCCCTAATACCTCCCACGTATGGGATGACACAGCCACCAGCATTCAGTGTCCAAGGCCCAGTGATTGGAGTCACACCTACCATGCCACCTCCAGTTCCCCCTCAACTTCCACTTATGACGGCACATTATCAAGTACAACATCCTTCCCAGCCTCTAACGAACATGGTTGTTAATCTGCAGAGTCAGCCTTTGTACACAACTAGCCAGCCGATTACCATGTCCCCTCTCACTGGGGTGGGTCAGGTGACTCAGCCCCCCCCAAGCACGGTGGGGAATGGCCAAATGAGTTGCCCCATTCTGCAACCATCAGCTGTGCCCTCAGCAGCCCTTCCTAGTAATGCTCAAGGAGTCAATGAGCAGGTAGTCTCCCACCTTCCTTTAAATCCGCCACAAGCTGAAGACAGCAAAAATGGTGTGCAGATGTTACGGACTGTTGGGACCGGAAAATACGAGTTTATGGATCCATGGCACCCGAAAGGTAGATCCATTTAGATGCTTTATTGTCCATTTCGGTCTCTATCTGTGTTCAATCGACTCTTTTCTTCCCATTTTGAGGCATCATGGTCTACAGGCTTGTGGAAGAAGTTGATAGTTTTAAGAAATTGAGTTTTATGCAAGTCTCTTGTACTTAAGGCACATAAACCATTTTCGAGATGATTCAATTATGCTTTGAAATCAATGGTTCTCGAGCAGCCTTAGTAAATGCCTACTAATTATAGTCATTCCTTCCTGTATCAATCAAATAATTCAGCAGGTATTCGAGATAATTGACAAGAAGTATCATTTGTGAAATATCAGGTCTTATTACCCCGGAAAGAGAGTCGTGATGTTTTATAATGTTTAAGGAATACTCTTTATAGCTGCACAGTTTGTTATCCTTAATTATCCGAAGTTCTGCGACTTGAATTTCTGAATAGCATCAGTGACCTTCAAGCACTTGTCTGTTATAGTATTCACTGCTTATTTAAATGTAGAACTTAATTGGCTGCATGGAAGACTGTTCAGTGCTTTATAATTTGTAGGAAGGTCAAGTGCTCATCAAGGAATTGAATTTGACGCAGCAAAACTTCAAGAGCCAAAAGCCTCTCGCGCTCACTAAATTTTGAATCTACCATGTACGTCTTTGTATCTGCATAAAGAGCATAGTCAAAGGCCAAAGGAATGAATGAATCTGCTGCAGAAAATAATTAAATAAATGAATCACTTTGCGGAGATTTAATAATGTTGGATGACTGGAATTAAAAGATGGGAGGGATGCATAGTCAGCCAATCAAAAGATATGTCATCTTACCCTTAAAAATCTATTGATGCCTAGAATTTCCTAGTACCTTTACCGCAACTAATTTATTAATAATGTTCCCATGCGTCCCCCTTCAACACACAAGATCCTGAGGGGACTAGATAATGTGGATATTGGGAGTATTCGCCTTCTCGTAAGGGAGACTAGAATTCAAGGATACGGTTTAAGAATCAGAAACAAGGAGATATTTTCCTCTGAGGGTATAATCTTTGGAATTCTCTTCCCCAGAAAGTAGTGGGAGAACTACATCATTGAAAATATTCAAGGTTTGTGATAGACCGGAGGAGTCAAGGACTGGGAGGATGGTGTGGTGCAGACAGGAAATCAGGCTTGTGATCTCAAACAGATCATTGATGAACTTATGACATGGCAGACCAAGCTTGAAGAGCTAAATGACCTAATCATGATCTTAAGTCTACCTTCTACTCAGAGTTTCATATACCATACAGCAAAAGCTCTCTTTAACATAATCCAGGTCTAAGAGGACTGATTTGCATACTTCTCCATGCTAATACATTGAATTAGGCCAATGAAGCAAGCCCATAAGTATGGCCATTACTGTTATGATATTAACGCACAATAGATGTCTAATGCATTTGAATATATATACCGCATAATATTTTTTAATTAGATTGATAGAAAGCTTTCTCTGCACATTCACATTAGAAGTTATCAATAGTTGATGGGATGCAAAATAAGAATTGATTTGCATTTGTGTAACGCTGCTGTTGTTAAAATGTTGCAAGGTTCTTCAGAAAGCTGAGCTTAAGGACGGAAGTTGAGCAAAGGTGGTCAAAGTCTTAGCCATAGTGGCAAACATTACTGAGGGCTGCAACAGAGATAGAGAGGTGGAAGATCATAGGTTTTAGGTAGGAATGTCCTTTGTGCTTTGCATCATGAAAGCTAAAGACGTAACCAAAAATAGTAGAGCAAAGAACAAAGTGAACAAGTAAAAGGCTAGATTCAGAAAACTGAAGACTTTGGGTTGGGCCTGAGTGGTTGTAGGCCTGGAAGAGGTTGCAGAGATAGGAGGGGTAAGGCAAAGAAAGGACTTTGAAAGGTTTGGGGAATTTGGCACCAAGGGCAGGAATGACGAGCAATTTGTTACACTTTTATGTAAAATAATGTTGGCAGTTGAGTTAGTAAGTGATTGCGTTTTCAAGTAATTGTTGTCTGCTGCGCGGATGCATAGGAGGGAGGTGGGGGAGGAAGAAAGGGGAAATATCATTATGCTGTTCTCTATTTTCGGTTTCTAAAGCACTTACGTTCCTTAGGCCAATTTAGCAAGCCCATAAATATGTTCAATATGTTATGACATTAACATAGGATAGATGTCTAATGCACTTAAATACCATTTCTTCTACTGTTATTTGCCAGGTATTAGTTTTCTTTACGTGAATCATGCCATTTGTAGCCTGCAAATCATTTGTTGGGGAAATCCTAACTAGTGCAAAACAAAAAAACTGCAGTTTTGGCAGAAAAGTTTCATAACATTACAAAGCTTTGGTGTTGGCTGTTAAAATAAAAACAAAACTCCTGGTGAAATAAGTAATAATTTGCCTCCGAAATATTGGTATAACGTGAATCTCTTAATGCCAAAGAAAATCCCTGAGTTGTGTCTGTTGAAGTAACATTGCATGAGCAGTTGTTCACAAAGATGGTTTTACTGCTGTCTTCAGTCTGCCTTGTTTAAGTTTAGATATAGTAAATGTATTAAGGGAATACTCATTTAACAAGAGTTTGATCTCATATATTTTGCGCAATTTGAAGCAAATGCCTTTTAACATTTTGAACACTACATACGGCAGTTGGTTTGATAACGGGGACAGCAGTGATCACAATTTTGTGAGGATGTACAGACAGATGTTGGTTGGATAAATATTCATGTCTTTTCTGTTGAGACGTTGGTGTGTTCTTGGGGAGATTGCAAAGGTCAGAATATAGACAGGGTAGTCTGCTTCACCGCTCGGTCCCCACCTCCTTTACAGGGTCAGGGTTTGTTCCAGAGCTCCTGAAGGGATAGATGTGATTCTGCACATACTGATTGGGCTAGCCAATTGCTGAAATGTAAAGAAGTCAGGAAAAGACCTTAGCTTCCTGAGATTCAAAATGCAAGTCTCCAGTGTAGCAGTCCTTTATGAAGCCTGCAACTATGGACTTTGCTTGGATCACTGTGGGTCGAAGGCTAGAGATGGCACCAAGGGCAGACAGAAGGGTACCTCTTTTAATTTTAGTTTAAGACATCACTGAGATATGACAGTACTCAGGATCCTCCATCAGCTTCCTGAAGACGCCAACCCCTAGTTAACAATGTGTAGCTCCAAGCTTGGCCCAAAATATAGCTGTGCTTAAAATTCTTGCTGTTTTTGAGGGACAAGATTCAGCCAGAGGATGGGCCTGGAGGTGGGGTGCACCAAACCAGTAGCTGAGGTGAGGAACTGTGACACGCCTTAAACAACAGTTGTCTGGAATAGGGCAGAAGAAAGTTGGTCAGAAAAATCATTTCTATCATAATGTCTTCACCTGGCTTTTAAAATTCATTCATGGAATGTGGGCATCGCTGACTAGGTCAGTATTTATTACCCGTCCCTAGTTGCCCCTTCAGAAGGTGGTGGTGAGCTGCCTTCTTGAACTGCTGCAGTCCATGTGCTGTAGGTAGACCCACAATGCCTTTAGGGTGGGAGCTTCAGGATTCTGAACCAGCAGCAGTGAAGGAACAGAGATATATTTTGAAGTCAGGATGGTGAGTGGCTTTGAGGGGAACTCAGCACTTAATGTGTTCAAGAATGCCCAAAATGTACATTTAATCACCAATTGACTTGGCATTAGAAGAGACATTCCAAAGTATTGTACACAAGGTCAAATTGAAGTTGGGCTGCTGGGTACACCCCATTCATTACATTCCTCTATTCATGCACGTGCCTGCCTCTATACCACCAAAAGATTCTTCTTTTGTCCCTCTACTGAACTGTCAGGAAGTAAATTATCCACCTTCAGCTCATGCACTGACCGGAAAGAGTTGAGCATTTTTTTCTGCTTGCTTTGTATTCACCCTCATCCCAACCACACATAATACTTATGAAATTATCACGGGTATAGAAGGTTTCAGTTATAAAGAAAGACTGGATAGGCTGGGACTATTTTCTTTGGAATGCAGGAGGTTGCGCGGCAACCTTGTAGAAGTTTATAAAATAAAGAGAGATATAGATAAAGTTAATGGTAGGTGTTTTTTTTTCCCTAGGATGGGGGATTTCAACACTAGGGGCACATTTTTAGGTGAGAGGACAGAGATCTAAAAAGGACATGAGGGGCAAATTTTTTACACAGAGGGCAGTTCGCAAGTGGAATGAACTTCCTGAGGAAGTGGTGGATGTGGGTACAACTACAACGTTTAAACGACATTGAACAAGTACAAGAATGGGAAAGATTTGGAGGGTTATGAGCCAGGACCAGGCAGGTAGGACTAGTTTAGTTTGGGATTATGTTCGGGTTTGTTTCCGTGCTGTACGATTCTATGACTCTATGAGATGGCCGGCTACAACCATATAATCTGATCATAACCCATTACAAATCAGAGCCCATTTCCTCCAGAAGATATTTGACATTTGAATGTATTGGAAAGTTAACTTTGGTTCACATTGTTATATCTGGCTGCTCTTAATTGTGTGGTTTTATCAACTTGTTATGACAATCTGGAATTAATTTCTGGGACAAAGATGATAATGGGGCTCCAATTACCCTTCGTGCGCCACACCATTTGTTTTGTTTTCGAAAGGAATTATTCGTCCAAAACAAAATTGATCTATGTAGTTTTTTTCCTCAGAATGGATCTGTTCAGGTTTTTTCATATAGTACAGTTTGTCACTCATCTCTAGCTAAAGCATGTGGAGTTGATCATGTGACAATTTAATGACATCATTACAAAGTAACTCTGAGTAATTTATGTCTTTTGACTTTGCCCTGGAAAATCTCTGGAGGTGACCAACGCAAGTCCCCTGTCAGCACCATGGACCAGGCTCAGCCCAGACTTGACACCACGGAGGAACTTCAAACAGGTGAGGTGTCTTTAGCCAATCAGGGCTCATGTGGACTGAGTCTCCAGCAAATTGCGTATGTTGGGCGCTTCAAGTCCTTGGCCATGAGCACCACTCTTCACTGAATGGTAACGTGGCCATAAATCATTGATATGTAAGCTCCGTGGCCCGATCCTCATTGGCATAACTTGCTACCTCAGACCCAATGATTCTTCTCCTTTGAGAGATAGTAGGAACTGCAGATGCTGGAGAATCCTTCTCCTTTGCCCATTTGCCGAAGGCATAGCCACAACAGCTGTCAGTACAACATCCTCTGCAAAGATTGAATGAAATGCAAAAAAGAAAGGGAGAAGTAATTTTTGTCCTGCTATGGTTGAGCAATTATTCAACTCCAGCTTCATGCACTCACCTACGCAGGTGTTTTAAAGGCAAGACATTTTGTACCTCCATTAAATATTTTGGTGTTCTTAACTATTCCAGCCCCAGCTAACTGTTGCGTTCTAGTGGCAAAAATCCCCCCAGTCATTCCCAAACTAACTTGAGACCATTCCAGGCATGAGGGAAAAAGACCTGAATTTGAAGATTTGTCTCTGAGGTTTTTCTCCCCATAAGCATCATCCACCTCACACTGCCTTCCCTTTTCCATTCCTGGTTATTCCAGGTGAGAAGTTGGGAAGTCCATGCTTAGAGTTTTCTGCAATGGTATGTTGGAGGGAATAACATTTGGTTTCTCGTGAAATGAACCATCACTACGTTAATGAGCATTTCAAGCTTGAGCAGAGCCAAGGTATTTTTAGGAGCTTGGAGCAGAATCTTTATCTGGCTCTAAAGTTATTAATCTGGAATAGGGTGCAACAATGTAATTAAGCCCTGGCTAAGCCATCACTGTGATCTACAGGGTCACAGCATAATATATATATGTCCAATTTATTTCTGTATGGATTTAGTCAGTTTCCCTTTGCACAATATCATTATTCCTTCATACAAAAGCTGCCCTGAACTCAGTTAAGAAGGTAATACAGTCCTGCAGAAACCCTTTATGATAGCTTCTTCACATAAACCTGACCAGTTAGAGTCATAGAGTTGTACAGCACGGAAACAGACCCTTCGGTCCAACTCGTCCATACTGACCAGATATCCTAAATAATTCCGGTCCCATTTACCAGCATTTGGCCCATATCCCTCTAATCCCTTCTTGTTCACGTATCTATCCAGATGCCTTTTAAATGTTGTAATTGTACCAGCCTCCACTACTTCTTCTGGCAGCTCATTCCATACATGCACCACCCTCCGCATGAAAAAGTTGCCCCTTAGGTCCCAGATAAATCGTTTCCCCTCTCACCTTAAACCTATGCCCTCTAGTTTTGGACTCCCTTACCCTGGGGAAAAGACCTTGACTATTCATCCTATCCATGCCCCTCATGATTTTATAAACCTCTACAAGGTCGCTCCTCAGCCTCTGACACTCCAGTGAAATAGCCCCATCCTATTCTGTGGTCATCAGACAAAGATTCCCAGTCTGTTTCAGGTCCCTCTTTCTAATGTTACCAACAGTTGTGAAAATAATTTAAGAGTCTCACATGGACGAGTTGTAAGCTCTTTGGTTATTTGTCCATTATAGACTTTCAACACAGTATGTCTACTGCACTCATGATGAAATCCTGGGAATATTCAGAGTATGTTCTTACCTATTAACAAGAAAAAGTTGATTGTATCAGTGTATAGGTTGGTAAAAACAAGACAAGATGATTATATGTTGACAACCTCTTGAATGAAGGGCCTCCCTTGGAGCTTACCAACCGTTTTACTCTTCAGCAAGTCATATGTCTGCCATTGATTCAATCCAGCAGAGGTGGGGATGAGATCCTTAAGTGGGCACCAATTAGTGGAAGGGGCACAAAGGCTATATGTGGCCATCAATTGGATGGCTTTCCTGCTGCAGACCTAAGTGGGGTGAAAGTAGGAAGGTGATATGTATCGCACTTTCCACCCTTATGCCAGATTGAAAGCCCCCTCACTGCCAAACACACCATGACAGAGGGCATTATATGCTCCTTGTTGTGTATGATGAGCTAGGTAAAGTGGACTGGCTCAGTGATGTTGTAATTATGAATGACTGCTGTTACCCTAATTGGAATGCCCAAGCTGAGGGTCACAGGGGCAGAACAGAGAGTTAAAGGAAACTCGGGGAACTTTTATTTTGTCAGTGTACAATTCAGGCAAGTAATGGACTTGAATCTGTACTTGTCTTACAATTGGTAAATGAAAGAGTCAGGAATAGCAAGGCCCAGTCTGCCCTTGTGGAGTCCCGAAGTGTACTTAATTTAGGACTTTGCTCACCCTGGCCTTGCTTATGGTCAGCCATGCTTCTGATAATGAGGCTCAGTGCCTAATATCAGTAGAAATTGATTTCTTCAGCTGTCTCTGGACTTCCTGAACACTTCCCACTCCCCATACAAATCAGGGCAAAGGGCCGACCAGTTTAAAATTAACACAGAGAATGAAGAAAAGAGCAAGGAGATATTTCTTTACACAAGATAGATGTTTGTGCATGGAAAGTTTTGAAAGGATGTGGTTAAGACCAAGAACATTGCCATGTTTTTAAGGGAAAGTTACACAAATAATTATAGAGGAAGGTGTAGCAGAGAGTTTTAATTTTGAATCACTCTCCTCGAACCAGAACAGACGTGACGAGTTGAATTTTAACAGCCAAAGTTGAGTTGGTTGGAGTCAGGATAACATCAATAACTTAAAAATCTGAACCCCAACCCTAACTCACCTTGAATCCCCTTTCCCCATCTCCAAATTGTATTGGAGGTGGAGCAAAGGGTTGGTAGCCAATTAGCTGCCAGGAGAGGCGTTAGCAATTGAAATATTTTAATGAGCCTGAAGCCTCTGATTTCATTTCCTATGTGGCCTTTACACTATGGGCCTGGTTTTCCTAAGGCTCAGGAAACATGGCAGCTTAATGGAAGCATTAGTTAACTTGGGGTATCTTTGCGACACCATTTGTAATTCAGGAGGAGCAACAGTGCCCTTCCCCTAGGGCTTCCCTCCCTCACCTTAAGCTACCCAAATATGAACCCCTCAAGACAGGGGGATTGCATCTACCAGTCTCTCCAGTATTGAGGATTGGATCGATCAATTCCAGCACTCTGCTCTAAATCCATCTGACCTGACTGCAGACCAAGCCTGTCAATTGGGACATAGCCAAGGAACTGGTCAGTGACAAAAGATTTATACCGTACCACAGCGTGGGAAGGAACACAAACATCCAGGTTTTAAACCCGAAACTTCACTCCCACCTCCATCCACATAACCCACCCCTGTCAATATCTAAATCCTTGGATCAAATGGTTGGCACTTGAAGACAACTGAGGTGTCAGCCGTATGGTTTCCGAAATAGATGAATTTAGAAAAACTGAAAGAGCTGTGGATGCTGGAAATATGAAACAAAGACAAAAATTACTGGAAAATCTCAGCAGGTCTGGCAGCATCTGTGGAGAGAAATCCAAGTTAACATTTCGGGCCCAGTGACCTTTCTTCCAAACCCTGGTGAATCCAAAGCCAATTGAGCCATCAGACCAAGTTGAAGCTACGATTTCAAGGTGGAATTTATTGTGTCGCCTGCCCCCTCCCTTCCCCTCTCTGCCCTCCAGTGGTAGTTTGCAGGCAGGAGAGTATTAATTCAGGTGGCAGAGTACTGACTGGGGATTCCAGCATCTCCTAGCCTTTGACCAATTACATTCAAGGCATGAAGACTGTGTACTGTGATTATTGGAACTATGGAATATTGAATATTGGAATATCGTGTCCAGTTTTGATCTCCTTACTTCAGGAAGGATGTGGTGGAGGAAGTTCAGAGGAGGTTCACCAGGTTGATTCCAGGGATGAAAGGACTATCATACAAGGAGTGCTTGAATAACTTGGGCTTGTACTTACTGAATTTCAGAAGAATGAGGAGGGTAGGGGATCTGATTAATGTGTATAAAATGCTAAAGGGGATTGATAAGGTGGATGTTGAACAGATTTGTGGGGCAGTCTCGAACATGAGGTCATAGATACAGAGTGAGAGGAGGTAGATTCAAAACTGAGATGAGGAGAATCTACTTCCCTCAGAGTGTTGAGAATGTATGGAACTCACTGCCCCAGCGTGCAGTGGAAGCAGAATCAATCAACAGATTCAAGAAAGAAAGAGATATGTTTCTGATGAAAAGTGAGATAAAAGGCTATGGGGAGCAGGCAGGAAAGTGGAGTTGAGATCAGGATAAAATCAGCCATGAACATGTTATGTGGTGGAGTGTGCCTGAAGGGTTGAATTGACTACTCCCGTTCCTAATTCTTATGTTCCTGTGTAAGACTTCTGGATGGCCTTTCACTCAGAAGCTAATTGAAGATATTAAGCGATCAATTAATTCCTCCATTCAACAGAATCATTCTTTATGGTCCCAAAGGCAACTTTGTGCCAACATATGCAATCCACCCAGTATGTATAATGCAGAATCTCAAGACACATGTTAAAAATAGTCAAGTAACTATTGAAGAGTTCGCTCATTAAAAAAAATTCTTGTAGGTTAAGAAAAGCATCCACTACATTTAACTGCTTTTGATCCCTTTATTAAAAACAAACCTTTGAATTAGCCCCACTTTAAAGTGTATCACCCTTCAGAGCTACAAATCAAACTGTGAAGTGACAGGCCCAGCACTGTGATAATGAAAGGTTGTGATATCAGTCATGCAGCACTAATCATTTGATGGTAGCCTAGGCATATGTCAACAGAAGTATTGATATTGTAGCAATAATGTTTGGTTTGACACTCCAGACAAATGTTTCAAATGTTCAAAGAGTAAGAGTTTTTAAATGTTGTGAGAGTTTCATAGTTGCTTTTTACAGTTGTGAGAGTTATTTTTGGCAGATCTCTAATGGTTCAGATGGTTCAAAAGAGGTTTACTAGATTGATAGCTGGAATCAGTGAGTTGTCTTATGAGGATAGGTTGGATAGGCTGGATTGGTTTTCACT